GCGAAATTCATGAAATCTCAATATTTTCCTATATTTCTCGATATCTATGTGACTGAGAGCAAAAGTGCAAGAGAGCAATATTGTTTAGAATAAAATTTGCTACAACTTTAGTCCTAAAAGTTTTTTTGTAATATACTCTAAATTCCAAATGTTACCTTTAACAACTAGTAAGGCAACGAAATTCGTGAAATCTCAACATTTTCGTATTTTTCTCGATATCTATGTATCCAGGAGCAAAAGTGCAAGAGAGCAATATTGTTAAGAGCAAAATTTGCTACAACTTTTGTTCTAAAAGTTTTTTTGTAATATGCCCCGAATACCGAATGTTACCATTAGCTACTAGTAAAGCAACGAAATTCATGAAATTTCAATATTTTCGTATTTTTGTCAATATCTAAGTGTCTGAGAGCAAAAGTACAAGAGAACAATATTGTTTAACACAGAATTTGCTACAACTTTTGTTCTACAAGTTTTTTTGTAATATTCCTCGAATACCGAATGTTACCATTAGCTACTAGTAAAGCAACGAAATTCATGAAATCTCAATATTTTCGTATTTTTCTCGATATCTATGTGTCTGTGTGCAAAAGTGCAAGAGAGCAATATTGTTAAGAACAAAATTTGCTACAACTTTAGTCCTGAAAGTTTTTTCATCATATGTTCCGAATCCCGAATATTACTATTAGCAGCTAGTAAAGCAACGAAATTCATGAAATCTCAATATTGTCGTAATTTTCTCGATATCTATGTATCTAAAAGCAAAAGTGCAAGAGACCAATATTGTTAAGAACAAAATTTGCTACAAGTTATGTTCTAAAAGTATCTTTGTAATATGCTCCAAATCCAGAATGTTACCATTAGCAGCTAGTAAAGCTACGAAATTAATGAAATCTCAATATTTTTGTGTTTTTCTCGATATCTATATGTTTGAGAGCAAAAGTGCAACAATATTGTTAAGAACAAAATTTGCTACAACTTTTGTTCTAAAAGTTTTTTTATACTATGCTTCGAATCCCGAGTGGTACCATTAACAACTTGTAAATAGGGTGTTCCATTTCAAAAAACAAAATTCTAACTATTCAGCGTTAGCCTGTTGTGTATTTTTATTGAACTAAAACTAGATCTAGAACTAGAAAGTTTCGGGTTTAGCCGTGCATCTTCAGACGGATACTCCTTTCCTCGTATTAATCTATTATATCGAGGTTTTACTGTATTTAAAAAAAATAGTATGGGGAAATTGGTGAACTAGAGAGTTCTAGATGGCAATAAGTCCGTAGCTTTTACTGCCCCTTCGCTAATTATGCAAATTGCGGATCGTACTTTTCAATTTATGGTCATATCGATTAAATTGGCCGTACAGAATCCCCGCCGCCGCGAAACGAATCGTCGATGCGCGCAGGTAGCGAATAAATTCGCGACATAAATTCCAACCAGATAACTAGGAATCGAGGAGGTTCGACATTATGACTCATTCTGAGTGATATGATACTCTCGTGTCACAATTAGGCGTTATTAATGGCCGATTAAACAGTGCAGATTTCTGGTCCATTTTGATTATATCATACCACTCGATTCGCTCTAACCAATCAAACCACGTTGATTACAAAAAGTTTATCAAAAAATATGCAATTGAAAAACACAAAAATAATCTGTTTCTATATACTTTTTCGTATATAGAAAAAGATAAATAAGATTGAGTTATATTTCTTAGATCCTCCCATGATCCCATACGTCTATATCGGTCTGTAGTACGTTAGGAATCGTATTCGATCGACCAGAACTGTGAGTGTGCCGTGTAGATAGGCATAGATACTACCAGTTCGGCACGTCAAATAAAGTCACCCCAATGTAAAACTTTTACTGGAACCCCAGGCTTTATCTGCCTAACTCGGGCCATAACTATAACCGAGCGCTCGAATATATTTTTCACTTGTAACAATTTCTGAAATACGATAAGCAGGCCATTTCTAAGCGGCAGCGCGGCAACAATGGGAAAACTGGACGACTTATTAGCGCGCTGCGGCCAACGGGGGTGCATCTTTTATTCAACAGTTAGAGGTCGCTTGCGGTTGTGGTCCCGTTGTATCGCCATACTCCAAAAACCCACCCCTTTTCCCCAACTCTTTCAAAAACCTCTTTTCATCTGACCCTTTCGTTTTGTAATCTTCTCTTCAACTGTTTTCTTTTTTTAATGTACAACAATAAGGTTAGAATGGAAGTAAATTTATATTACTTTTACAAAAATTATGTTACAATACCTACAAGATTAATAACTGATCGAATATCGGTTTAGAAACAAGAATTGATATTCGGTTCGTGAGTCAACCGACAACAATAATTTACCCTTAATTCACTAATGGAGCCGTTGCATTCCAAGACATATTGCAATCCAAGGCGGTCTCCCTAAACCATTCGTCATCGGGCAAGAGAATCTGTTCCGATATTCGGGCGGTGGAACAAGATTAATACAACGACTCGGCGAATATTCCAAGGCAGCAAACACTAACTCGGTGTGCGGGTATTATTCCGGTAATAACGACGGCGAGAAACGACGTTCGCAAACTTCTCCCTCGTCAATTGGCACTTTGACGTCACGTGCTCGTAATCGACTTAAAAACGATGCTAAAGTACCTCTATTAGTGAAAATCTCTCTAACTCTTCATCAGTAATGGGATATTCTTTTTCATTAATCTTTTGATTTAATCATTCAAGATTTTATTATTACCATATTAATCTTATTGATAAACCATTTCGAATTAAATGTATTGATTTAAATTGAATCAATTAAATCTAAATTGATTCGTTATGTTTAGAACAACAACTAAGATCAAACTTTATCCATATTTCGAGTTACACATCTTGAAATTTCCATCAGCCGAAGTAAACAAAGATAATACATTCTAGGTCGGAGTAAATAGGTCAATAAACAAAAATGTTTGTTGTTTGTAACATCAGCAATAACCTATATCAGTAGTTCCCAAACTTTTCATAGTCACGACGAATTTTTTTAATTAAAATAATTGAGATACTTAAATAAAACTAAAAATTAACGCAAAACAGGATATTTATTAGAAAGTAATATGGAACATTAAAAAAATATTGTGATTTGTTCCAAGAGATCGCATTTGGTCATCAATCAACTTGGTCCATTCATCGATATTGTTCTCCATCTTTACGGATACCTTTTGGATTTTTTGGGTTGAAGTTATTGTAGATTATAGTGGAAGAAGAAAATGGATGGTTTCTTTGGAAAAGTGTTTCGTTGATTATCTTGGTAATGATACCATTCATTGGTTATACATACTTATCAAAAGAAAGTGTTGGGAAAATTTTCTTACGAACCCTTGAAATGTTTTTTCTGACTTCAGCAACCTCTTCTTATAGTTATTCGATTGGCATCAAGAAATGTAAAATAATTTCAGCATAATTTGGTGCATGGTTTAGTACAATTTTGTGCATATTTTTCTCGATATCTATGTGTTTGAGAGCAAAAGTGTAAGAGAGCAATATTGCTCAGAATTAAATTTGCTACAATTTTCGTTTCAAAAGTTTTTTTGTAATATGCCCCGACTACCGAATGTTACCATTAGCTACTAGTAAAGCAACGAAATTCATGAAATTTCAATATTTTCGTATTTTTCTCAATATCTATGTGTCTGAGAGCAAAAGTGCAAGAGAGCAATATTGTTAAGAACAAAATTCGCCACAACTTTTGTTCTAAACGTTTTTTTGTAACATACTCCCAATCCCTAATGCTACCATTGGCAACTAGTAAAGCAACGAAATTCATGAAATCATAATATATTTGTATTTTTTTCGATATCTATGTATCTGAGAGCAAAAGTGCAAGAGAGCAATATTGTTAAGAACAAAATTCACCACAACTTTTGTTCTAAAAGTTTTTTTGTAACATACTCCAACTCCCGAGTGTTACCATTAGCAACTAGTAAAGCAACGAAATTCATGAAATCTCAATATTTTCGTATTTTTCTCGATATCTATATGTTTGAGAGCAAAAGTGCAAGAGAGCAATATTGTTAAGAACAAAATTTGCTACAACTTTTGTTCTAAAAGTTTTATAGATTAGCAACGCTGGTTGCGATGTATGATATTCTTTAGTAATGCATTTGCGGACAAAAACCTTTTAAAATATTAGCAGCACCTTAATTGCAAATGACCTCAACCTCAATTGTGCTGCAAACGTTAACTGTTGTGAATCTGTATTATCTTCCAGATGTTTTCTTTGGTGTGGTGTGGTGGCTATCCACCCAGCCACAGGAATGATTTTATGGCCAACCACCTGCACCTGCAAAGATGACGTCATCATTGGCAAAGAGATGTCACCTTGTAATCAACTGACATTCTTCTTTTCAAATATGTTTTTTGTCATATATTGGATTTACTCTTAAATTTAGTCTTCATATTCCAATTCAACTCATCAATATCTTCTTTCCAACTCTTCCGTGGTCTTCCTCTCTTTCTGCTTCCTGCTTTCGTAATTAGTCTTAACCCACTCTTACATTTGTGCATGTCCGTACAAAGTTATTTACAATGTCACGCTTTACTTTATGTATATCCCTTATGTTTTCGTTTATAATCCTTTCCAGTCTAGATTTTTCAGCTGTTCATCTCCAGTAATCTATTTTTGTGGCTTTTCGTGTATAATCTTCAATTAGTTTGCGCATCATATATTCAGCATCATCAACATTTTGTGCAATAGTAATTCATCATAACTTGATCGTTAGCAAATGCCAAGGTGTAAACTCTACACCTTGACCCTTCTAAACTGTAGAGAGTTGATGTACTATTTTGCTTTCAACTTTTATAATTATTAGAAGATAATTCGATAAGAATTGCGTTTCCTGCATAACTAAATTGAGACGAAACCATTTTATTAAATGGATCTTGATAAAGTTTCTAAATAGATACATACATATGTTTGAAAATATATGTTATATCATTTATAAGGTGTTTTTTGAATCTTCTTTTCGTCGTTACAGTTTGTTGGGCATTGAATTCCCTTAGAATTAACGTCCCCAGACCCATCAAAGTCGGAGACACGGTGACACTGACGTGCGACTACGATTTGGAAGGCGAGCAGCTGTACGCGATCAAATGGTACTGGAAAGAAGCGGAGTTCTTCAGATTCGTCCCTCGGGAAAGTCCGCCCTTCAAGACGTTCGCCGTACGTCACATCATTGTCGACGTGAGTAAATTACTTAAAATAACAATATAAACAAAAAATAATTGATATGATTTTCAATTATGCTTTAAGAAAAAAAATCTAATATGAGTATAGAAATAATCAGTCATCTTTACGTCCTAAAGAAAAATAACCATGGTAATCAGTCACGTGTAAAATGAAAGTGTGCGCGTCAAAAAAGCTAAAAAGGGGTTTAGATCAGAAAATGGGGTGAGGGACTGAGAAGGTTGGTTCGTTTTTCCCCCAAATAAATTTCGCATGCAAACGTCACTTTGTTACTCGGAAGAAAAGCGTCAATTTTCCCCTTTTTTATCCCGTAAAGGGTTGAACGTTTTGTTGGCGAGGGGGGGAAACGAAGACGACTCGGAGGAGCAGCATCAGGAGGAAGCGTCGATATTCGCGCCAACACATGTGAACGTCGACGAAGAGGCCTTAAATTCTTACTTCCGGCGTCTTTCGTCGTCGCGAATCTCGAATTTTAAGCCGCGTCGCCAATTCTGGAATAAATTTTCATATTTTCGTCGTCGTCGCCTCGCCTTTCGGGCTTTACATAATGCATGTCCGCCCGCGGGACTTCGCGATATCGACTCGGAATTACGTAATGGTCGACGGCATTTTCGTTTTTTATCCTGAAAAAACACAGAACCGACTGTAACACTTTATTTTCGTTTTTTTTTGCTTGTCTTTTATATGGAATTTTTTCAGTTCGCGCCAATTTTTATTTAAAACGAAACGCTCACGAGTTTAGTCCCATTGGGAGTTGTCTGTGTGCATAAATTTCGTCTACCGCTTGGTATAAACCTGATAAAAATCTTACCCCTCTCATAAATACCACCTCGGTTTTAAAGTTTTTACTAACGTATATTTATCATTTTCAAATTACAAAATTGAGATAAGTTTTGAAATATATTTAACAAACTTTATAACTCATGTTATCTTTATTCACCAGATATAGAAATCAGTTTTAAAAACAAATTCAGATGTTAGTTTAATTGCGTGATACAAAAAATAATTCTTTTGAAATTTAAATAATAAAATTACAACTAAAACATTTATGGAGTGGAAAATGAAATACTGTTCTAGGAATATGGGATTTCCTGAATAGCGAGAAGTCATGGTGAATTGATGCGCGCCCGACTCGAGTATGTGGAACCACTTCACGAAGATGAGGAGTAAATCACGAAACATAAAATTGGTCATTTCAATAAATATCTTGTTTATAATTATTTTAAATTTGGCTATAAGTGTTTAATTTCAAAAATAATTCATCGGCGAAGAAGCTAAACGATATTGGTCTCAATCTATGTTGAGTTGGGAGTTGGTGCTCAAGGTGTCTAAAAGATTCATCTGGAATAGATGGCATTCAGTTCAATACCTGGTTAGACTCCTAGTAGGTCTCCTAATAATAAATTATTGTATGCTTGTAATTATTGGGATTGAATGTCCGAAAATCCCTGAAACAAACAAGTTGAATCAAAACTTGGTTAATAACACACCTAAACAAATAACTTTGAATATGATAGAGATATAGTTGATAAAGAAATGATAGTCAAAGAGACTTGGATGTTGAAAATACCTAATATACCCTTAGGAACATAACACGACTTGAGCTTGGTGAAAATGAAAATTTCTCTATCGCTCCGTAAAAATGAAAATTACATTACACTTGAAAAGGGATGTTGGGAGAATAAACCGCATATCGGTATTAATGTAGAGGTCTTTTTGAAGCTATAAAATGTGGCTTTGAGTAAAGAATTGGAGTACCTAAAAGACTTTGGATTAAAGTAGGATCTTTATATAGAAAAGTTCAAGAGGTTCTAAAATTAGTCGCATTTTTCTTTGCGTCAAATTTTGCGTCATATGTGTCTTTGGATTCTACTATGGAGATCTTGTCTGAGATACTTGCTGCTAAATGTTCTGTTATGCATACAAGATCTGCTTACATCATCTCGAACATAATTCTTTCGATGTAGTGTATTAAAGCTTTACATTCTTCTTCATATTTGCTAACATTTATGTTCTAGATACATTATCTAACAACTGTTGTCTGGTGGTTTAATGTATCATTAAGTAAATAACAATTTGATGCTCAAATATAGTTAGTTAAATAGTAAGTTATCAAATTAATATTTAAATTCTAAATAAATGTGGTAAAAATACTAACGATGCACTCATAACGAATATAAAACCATAAACCATCCCAGAACGACCACCTAGTGCTTACCGGACCCATTAACGGCAACTAAGTGTTGCTCGATAATAATAGTTGTACGACCTAAAAACATCGACTTATCCCGTAGTTTTTTAATTCTATCATCACCTACAAAGCATTTTATGAGGTCTCATTTTATGTTGCTTATATGGAACGTTCGTTATTAATGGGTTAATAAGATTCTAAATAATAAAGTTGACCTCTCAAGATATTAATCAAATCCGTTTTCTGCACAAGTTAGTATTGAATTAAATGATGCTCTGTTTCTGTTCTATTTCTTCTGCTGGATGCTTTGTGTGCTCTATCTTCTGTTGTGTTGATCAAAAAAATATTGGACATCTACCATGTGTGGTACCCTGTGTGGCAGCCATTGTCGTCTTTGAATTACGTACAATAGTAGGAAGGGTATCATTATCAGTTCCAAGAAGTAGATAATTACAGACACCAACAGAGAAGAAAAATCATTGGAGATCTAATACACCGATCAATATCTTACACTTCCATTTACTGGGAACCAAATGACTTTATGCTGTTATGCAAATACATAATTCCAAAAGACTGCTTATTCATAGCCGGAATTTAAGACGTTCGTTGATCACTGCTTTGGAGATAAAACAATAGGATTTTCTAGCCTATGGCTTGAACGATATACGTTTGCCAAGGAACGAGTCATTGCTGATATATGTGATAAAATGAAAACTATCTTATACACTCTTTTGTCAATGATACATTAGGAGGAAAAAGTTGAAATTGAAAATAATTCATATAACACTCTGGATCGACATACATTCTTGTTTGGGTTAGCCCACTGCTGTGATTGTCTTGGAATAAAGGTTTAGCCAGTTGAAAGATACGCATCAAAACTAGAAAATCATAATATATCGAAGAAACAAAGTCCATGGTACCTTTTGTCAGAAAAATGTCTGTATATTGCACAGCAACATCATGCGCAAATACTGTTCAGAAGTAAAATATTATAGGTTGAAATAATTTTAGAAGATGTAGAAGAAAATATGCAGAACAGCAAAATCAGCTGGACATATTGTATAAGTTCCTTGATAACTATCGTATCTGGTTGAGGGTGAGATGATATTGGTTTAGTCACTAAGATTCTAAAGGAGACTGTAACCACCTTAGCTTATTATAAAAGCTGAATCTGATATAGGACTGGGACAAAATTCTCCACTTTCTTAGTTGCTGTGATAAACACCTCGTCAATAACGAAGCTCCCCAATCCGAATCAGTGGTAAGGTCATTCACATGAAAACCGGCAGCGAATAGTTCGTCACCATAATTTGGTGAATATGTCACAAATCAAATGTGCTAAACATATGGTTTATCATCTGAGATGTATGGCTTTCCTCTCAATTGCCTTTGTAGGAATAGTCATGAAAAAACTTAAGTCAGCATTTATAGACTTTATAATAATAACAAGACATTGCGAAAAAAACGCAAATCAAACCTCATTAACGAATTACTTAAATTAATTGATCAGCTTTAAGCTTAGAATATGCAATTACCAAACGTTTAAATTCCCTACGTGAACTACTGAAGACATCAACCCCTGCGTTGCGATGGAAATGATCACAAGTGTGTGCCATTCGCAGCATAGGAGAATTCTGAAAGACATTCATGCGAGGAATTTGAGTGTGAAATATATAATCTAATCGAAGTAATCGGGGAGGAACGCGTATATTAATGGTTTCAAGAAGTGCTGGCGAATCGAAGCTGCCATTGATAATTTTGTGGTATGTAAGTACACTACAAAGACGGCGCTGACGAAGAGATAAAAGATTGAAGGATGAGCATGCGGAATCGTATTCAATGTAATTAATTGCGAACTTATGACAAAGGTACTTCAATTTCTTTTGAATTCTTTCAAATCTCGAAATGTATGTTTGATATTGCGGATTCCAAACGGAGCTACATAAATTCAGAATACTATGAACATAAGCAAAATATAGAGTTTTTGTAGCATTGTCATCCGTAAAATCTTGAGATGTTCTCATAACGAATCCAAGCATGCCCCTCAAACATCAGTTTTTCGTCATATATGACGCCCAAATCTCTAATCTGAGTTACTCTGGGTATGGTTATGTCACCGATGTCGTACTCATATCTGACCACATTCGCCTTCCTTGTAAATTAGATTACATTACATTTTCCAGAATTAAGCGTAATAAAGTTTGAGCTGCAGTAACGGAGCAACGCAGAAATATCGTGCTGTAAGCTAGAACAATCCAGAGGTGAGGACACTCTAGCAAAAATTTTTAGGTCGTCGGCATACATCAAACACTGTGCCCTATGAATCACCTCAAAGATGTCATTAATGTAAATATTAAATAGGAGAGGACCTAAGTGGCTACCCTGCGGTACGCCAGAAAGAACCATCATAATGTTGGAGAAATAACCACCGATCGAGACCATCATAATTCTTCCACGCAGATAGGATGCAGATAGGAGCGTCCCGCAAAAAAGCCATGCTGCCTTTCACTGTGAAAAATAGTCTTTCATAAATAAGCTTTTATAAGCTTTTAAATAAACAGAGGTAGTAACGATATAGGTCTATAATTCGAAACCTCACTACGATCTCCGGATTTGAAGATAGGAATTATATTAGCCTCCTTCCAAACGCGTGGAAAAACCCCAGATTGAATGGACCGGTTCTATATAAACGTTAAAGGAAGCGACAATGATTCCGAGCAATTGCTAATTATAATAGCTGGAATTCGGTCCCTTTGGCCACATCGATACCTCTCAACGCCTGCTCAACCTCTGAACGCTCAAAGTAAATCGCATAGACATGGTCAGTATCAAAATTATTGTCGGAAGCAGTTCCAGACCGAGCTGGGATAAATACCAAGTGAAAGAAGGTGTCTCACGCTGTTATGTGAGACAATTACTGGAATATTATTCTCTCTTTTTCGTTGTCTAACAAATGACCAGAAAAATTCTTCACTTAACTGCTTGGTGAGAATTAATCTGGCTAAATGCTTAACTTTGCTTATCGCCGGCGTATACAACTTAGTTGATTGAATTGCATGGCTGTCCAAACTGAAGCTCAAACCCAGGTTTGTAGCATAAAATTAAGTCATTAAGGATCTTTGATTCATAGGTGCAAGAAAACACTAAGGAAAGCATAACCGAAGTAGCAGGTTTGGAAAATCCTCGAATATCCACACATTACTGTTGCGTGTAGGTTTTGTCAAGCGATGTAATAGGGTCATACTTTTTGGTAAAGGAGGCTGGAAATGCGTTGCATTCATCTCAATCATTGGCAACATGATAACTAACGTTTTTATGGAAACAGTTTGATGATACAGCTCTTCAGTGTGTGTAGCACCAATAGATCACCTGGCGTACAATTCATCTTACTACAACAAAAATTCACAATCTCAAGATAATCGAATATCATTTGGTCAGCATAATCTTGTAAGTTGACGCCGAGAACAAAATTCCGTTGTTTTTGATAATCTGGCAAATATGAGTTGTAAAATTCCAACCTTGCCCAGAAGTGTGCCTCGACAGATATACGCCAGATTCGAATTCATTGTAATCACTCTGTAGTTATATTTAAAGTGTGTTTTTATTTCACATTCTGTATAATTAATAAACGTAACAATAGTCAATTTCAATCGAGTTAACTGGAAAATAAAAATTAAATGAGATAATGATAAAGAGAAAAAAACTTAAAAGAAGTCGAAGCATCACTTATGTTAAGTAAGAAAAATGTCTAGATCACGTTTTCTCTTTCCTCGGCATTATCCTGTGGGAAGATAATGCGACAGTAATGCGACACTGGAGACACCTGCCCGGGGATTCGCGTCAATCCTGGCACGTCCAGGACCGGACGTGACTGGTATCCGAAAAAACCTATAATACTTCGCGAAGGACACGCACGCCGAGCACTCCGCCTCTAACTTTGTCTCTGGGAATTTTATCAAGTGTCGCAAGAGGGGTAATTCAATCTCGACGACGGACACCTCTCGAAAAAACCAGACCGACCTCTTCTTTTTTACTCCGCACCACCCCGGAAATTTTCCTCCGACCGGTAATGAACCGGCATTTCCAACGTTTTCCCCCTCTTCTTCAAAATAAAGCAAAAAAAACCTTTCCATCAAACTGCTTCAGAGTGTATTGGTGTTTTTCTTTCGTGTTTTTCTTATATTTTCGAAGTTGACTCTTGCTATAAGGAATTGCTTATTTTGACATAAAAAGTTAAACCAAAAATTAGTTAATTTATTGAAGGATTGTAAAAGTTGGTTAAAAATAAATCACTTCACCCTTTTTTTCGAATCAAAGCACTATTTAAATCGAAATAATGACCCCCATTGAATTAACAGCTCCCTCAATTAGTTCATTTCCCTTTTTACAATCAACCACCCACCCAAATCCCCAATGGGTTTAGGACTAATTGGAAAGTGAGTTTGCTCACAATCCAGAATTTTTCGTTCTGGAAAAAATTTAACTTTCTAATTTTTATTTTTGTTCTTAATTTTCTTTCTATAGGTATCTGGTTCAGATAGAAACAAAGTGACCCTAAAAGATGTTCAAAAAGTAATTTCGGGCACTTATACGTGTGAAGTTTCGGCGGATGCCCCAACATTCCACACGGAAATGAAGGGAGGATTCATGCAAGTTCACGAACTTCCGCACGGCAACTTAACGATGATCATCGAACCTTCGAAAGTTGAAGTGGGAAAACTTTTGAAGGCCAACTGTCGATCTCCTTTAGCTTATCCAGCTCCAAATTTAATTTGGTCCATTAACAACGAAACTGTAAGTTATAATAATTAGCGTCTCCAATCAATATTCATTTAATACTTTTAATTTAATTTTAGGTTTATTATAATACCTCAGAAATTGAAACTTATAATTACATAGAATCAGTTAAAATTCTTTCAGAATATTCCGAAACCAAAATTCAAATAATCATAAACCAATCATTTTTCGATCAAAATGGTCACATGGAATTGAGATGCAATGGAATTCTTGACGAGTTATGGAAGAGTTCTGTTGCGAAAGTTTTAAAAGATGAAACTCCTGTTTTTGCTCCAGTTTTAGGATCTACATCTTCTCAAATCGATGATGGCGATCAACAAGGAAACTTTGGTAAATTTTTTTTTATTTCCGGATTTTGTACTTAAAGTTAAATGCACTTAACACCTTCTTGTTGACACAATTTCAAAGATTTTACCGCACACCGTTTGGCTTTTACAAACAAGAACAAAAAAAATATCGGCATTCGGCACTCAGTTCGTAAAAGTAGGATACCGCAAACCCGATTCACGCCGCGCTTTTCCGGTTCTAAACTAGTACGAACTCGTCTCCAAACCGCTTTAACACGTAGCGATTTATACCAGAAATATAGCGAAGAGATCGTTTTAAATCCCCAACATCCAACGTATCTCGTTCTGTTTCAGATAAGTTAATGAACAGTTCTTCTTTTGGACCATCATCGCTTCAACGTGCTTCGATTTCATATATTTTCTTACTTTTGATATTTTTCACGTTAATAATTAGGTAATTAAACGTTTTGGAATGATTTAGGGATCGACCTTGTGCCTCAAGAATAACCGAGTCCTAGCGATTAATTCTTGAATTTAGAATATTAAGTTGAAATAAAATTGTTATTTATAGTTTAAGCGGAAATGAAATAAAAATAAAATTAATTAAGCTGTACGTAGATGTATAAAAAAATGATGGCAAAAATAAATGGCGGAAAAGAATCGAAAAGAAATTAATAAGTAATGTTAATAAACAATGGCAATAATCTGTGTAATGTTAAAAAATGAGGCTAAAAAAGTAAAGGAATTTTGAAAAAAAGGGATGTATCTGTGTATTATAGGATTTGAATAAAATAAAAATTAAATACCTAAATTATTGTTTTTATTTAATTCATTAATTTAAGATGTAAACAAATTTTTCATTCTTCTTCTTCTTTAAACATTTGAGTTTAAAATTTTTTTTAATTATCGAAAACTTTGTTGTTTTTTATTTTTAATCAGTGATCAACAGATTATACGCGAGCTGAATACACATGAAAACGTTGGATAGATTCTAAAAAAAATCATTTCAAAAGCCACACTACGTAAAACCAGAATAATTACAGTGCCCATTTTTTTGGGTGTTTTTCAAGCGAAGTTATTTTATGAAAACTGTCATTATAAAATGGTTTGGTAGCTTAGCGCCATAAAATGTATCTCCAAACTGTTAGAACAGTTCTGTTGCATTAAAAATATTAGACATGCTATAAAATGATAAAATTACTTCACATCACAATCAAATCAAATCTAGCAAAGTGACAACGGAACATATTCAATTATTGTTTGATTTTGTCACCGCAATACTTGCACAATAATATTTACAACTAAAAAACTGATGATATGGAACAGGATTAGATCTTAAAGAACCAACTTATTATTAACAAAAATCTTTAATAAATGGCATTGAACAATCATAACCATCAACCAAATTCGTGAAAATTATATTAATATATGTATATTATTGCACTGATATTGTATTCCTATGAGTTTAGTATTCATTCGAGGCAATATGAAGCCAACCCAACTCAACCCACGATATTGCATGAGGTGGAGAATAATTTTTTTCTTAGAAATTTCAATAATATTACCTTACAGATTTTATATCATATCATAAATTAGAATCACTAAGCTTCAATTTGATATACATATCATATCATGGTTCTAAAGAATACAGTAGATATGATTTTTTGAAAATTTGGAATTATATATGATTTATAAATGTGACAACTTCTTCTTTGATGATTGTTTTCTGGAAATTTCAATAATATTACCTTATAGTTTTTATATCATATCATAAACTAGAACCTTCAAGCTTCAATGTAACATACATATCATATCATCATTCTAAAGAATACAGTTGATATGATTTTTTGAAAACTTCGTAGTATTAATGATTTATAAATTTGACCACTTCGTCTTTGGTAATTGTTTTCTGTAAATTTCAATAATATTATCTTATAGTTTTTATATTATATCATAAACTAGAATCTTTAAGTATCAATTTAACACACACATCATATCATTATTCTAAAGAATACAGTCTATATGATTTTTTGAAAATTTCATATTGTTAATGATTTATAAAATTGATAATTTCTTCTTTGATAACTGTTTCCTGGAAAATTTAATAATATTATCACATAGTTCCCAGTAAACAAGAAACCTCTGTGAAACATTTCAATTTTAACGTACAGTGAATTAAATGAAACATCTTAGAACTACGATTCATATACGTGACAGATACGATTTTTACGAAACGTATCTAAAGATATGTATCAAATACATTTCAGTAGAAATATTTATGAAATATCATTAAAANATAATATCATCATATAGTTTATATATCATGTCATAAACTAGAACCTTCAAGCTTCAATTTAACATACATATCATATCATCATTCTAAAGAATACCGTTGATATGATTTTTTGAAAATTTAGTAGTATTAATAATTTATAAATGTGAACACTTCGTCTTTGATAATTGTTTTCTGGAAATTTCAATAATATTATCTTATATCTTTTATATCATATCATAAACTAGAACCTTCAAGCTTCAATTTAACATACATTTCATATCATTATTCTCAAGAATACAGTCAATATGATTTTTTGAAAATTTCTTATTAATGATATATAAATTTAACAATTTCTTCTTTAATATTTTTTTCCTAGAAATTTCAATAATATTATCTTATAGTTTTTGTACCATAGCATAAACTAGAATCTTTAAGCGTCAATTTAACATACATATCATATCATGGTTCTTAAAAATACAGCCAATATGATTTTGAAAATTTCGTATTATTTTTGGTTTATAAATTTAACAATTAATGAGGTTAATGAAGTCTTTCTCAAAGAATGGTTTATTGGCGGTGATCATCTCAGATTGTGAGCTGCATGCTACTACAACACTTCGTTATCGTATTTCTTGTGATGTTCGGAAAGCATTCGACTATAGCGTAGACAATTTCTATTCAACCGAGATAATACAAAAATTCCGTTCTGTCTTCTTAATCTATTTAAAGGATAACCCCTTGCAGATTGCGTCTTACTGGCTTCTTTAGGGATTTGCAACGTGGATACTTCATCATACAACGTAAGAATTTTAAATCAATAATGAAACAAATATAAAATTAAATAAGAAAATACTTTATTTATAGTTGTAAATACAAGCTCGACATAAAAATTGTTAAAATAAATCTTTAAGCTGTATAAAAATCAACACAGTTGATTTTCTATATACAATATCTTAGCACAAATATATTTTTTTTAAATAACTTTTAAATTTTATTTAATATAATACTTGTTTCTTTAAAAATTTGAAGGTGGAAATGGAGCATTTTCTTCATAAATCATCATTAACGAGCTATACGAACGCCTCTTTTTCTTTGGCTAAAAATAAAAAACGTTCTAAAAAACTTTTCACATTGAAAAACTTTCATTTTTTTTATCAAATTACTTTTGAAATATGAGTGTTTTCGTCACCGCTACTACTACTAGAAGTAATCCCTTCTTCCAAAGTTAATTTTGTTGAAAGTCCTTCTAATTCCATTTCGATGTAAAGTTGATTTAATTGATCATTAACTAACATTGGCTAAAATAGAAAAAAATTTTTAATATTACGTAGAAAATAAAATTTAATAAAAAATCAAACCTGGTTAATTTCCTTTAACGTATTCAAATCGGATTCAAGAATATCCCCAATTTCTTTCATTGGTATTTGGTATCTATAAATTAATTCTGGAGTGATTGAAACTGCCTCTAACCAAGGGGGGTCTCTTTTTCTTACAGGATAATAACGATATTTTTGCCAATTCTAAAAAAAAATAATTAATTTTCGTTTCAAATCAACACCGTTTAAATTACCTCGTCACAATTAGCTTTTTCTGGATTATTCGAATCATCGTTTGATCCTGATCCAGTATCGGTTTTTAAAAATGACGAATAAAACGAAGAATAGCTACTTTCCTCGTCAACTGCTTGTCCATCTTCTTGATATTTCTCATCGTTATCTTTCGTTTCATTAGATTCTAAAGTCTGCAAGGAACATTCGGTTGAAAAGGAATCGTTTCTCATTCTCCTATTAAACACCTACAACGAACCACTGAAAGCTCTCGTAAAACATGCATAAATAAAATTTATAACAAAATAAATAAAAAAAAATGAAATTAATAGGCAATTAAAATTTACTCGTAAAAAACGTTTATAACAGAAAAAATGAACCATCGGGGGTTCATATTTTAATGAAAAAATAAATCCAGTTGGAATTTGTTTTAATGGTCAGGGTGTGTTTTTTTCGGAGGGTGCTGAGTTAAAACGCCATAAACTGGCAAATAATTCCATTTTACTTTTCCGGCATACAAGCGTCAGCTGTCGCCAGCAGAGACGGACCTCTGATTTCCGGCAGCAAACCGCAGTAATTGAAAACCGCACGGGACACCTGTGTATCCTTTCATGAAATTTTCAGGAAATACAAAAATGCGGCAAAAAAAGAACATTCATCGTGCAAAAAAAAACATTGAAAAGGAAAAAATCTTTTCTAACAACCTTTTGGTTTAAATTATAATTTTCCATTTCAGTTTCACCATCAGGTGGTGATACCAAAGGCGTATCCGGTGAACAAACCGATTGTAAACCCAAATCTTTACGTGAACATTCAGATAAAGCCTGAAAAATTATTTGTTTCTTTTTTGCAATTTAAACTTTTTGATTGAAACGGAAAAAAAATTTTTGATCGCAATAAAAAAGAACATTTTTTACCTTATTAGCTACGCTTGCCGAAGCGATTGACCCCATTGCACTTCCCGGTTCAGCTTTAACAGAAGTAGCTTGAGACGCAGGTCTTTGGAATTGAGGAACGGAAGTCACACTCGGTGGACTCGGCTTATTGTGATCACTCGTTGGCTGATTGGAATTGATCGATTGATTGATTACTTCGGTGTTTAAAGGAGCGAGAGGTTGTGTTAAAGGCATTGTCATCATAGGCACTGGTGAGCAGAAGATTGGCGAAGCGGGAAAGATTGTATTATAATTGTACATCATCCCAGGCATGTATTGAACTAAAAAAATAACATATTTGAAGTAGATATAAAGAATAAAAAAAATTGTTCAAACCTTGGAAACTCATACTAGGATCTGATTGCAGAGGTCTTTGTTGAGCTGGAATGTAATAAACTGGAAACATTCCTGCAAAACTTCCCGCTGTGTTTTGGGTGGAATTTCCACCACATGATTGAGTATTATTCATTGGTGTTAAAGTTACAGAAAATGGTGGCCATAAATTAACGTCGTTTAACTGAAAAAAAATTAAAAAATTAGAAATAAGGACAATTGATTGTAGAAATGTGAAGTTTTGCAAAATGCTGATTATTTTGATAAGTCAATTGGGCAGCTTTAAATTTGCTAATTAATGCTGCAGTATCTTTGTGGGGTTCGTGCATCTGGGAGCCGAAATAAACAACACAAACCGAATTGGCTCCGATATACAAAAGAGAATACTTGCTGCCAATAGAATGTAAACAAAAGTTGATCAGGTCAACTCCAGAACAACTAAAATCAGGATATTCAAAATTCTGATTAGGCCGGTTGCCACATATGGATCAGAAATATGTAGCCTGAGAGCTAGCGATACAAAGAATCTTCTTGTTTTTGAAAGAAAAATAATTAGACGAATATTCGGACCAATATGTCCTATATCTTTTACTTTTGCACTGTTTTTTTCCTAAACAACCCATCAGGAGGGGCCAAGCTGAATGTATTTTTCTGATATTGGCTAGTACAGTAACTGCAGCAACTTCATCGGTGTAAGCTTAGTTCTGGTATAGATCAATCTCTACTACATCTTAGAAATCAAAGTTCTAGTATTAATTTAGCCTGGATTCAACATTGCAAAAGATAACCGTTTATTACTGCCATATGCGAGAAGATGTGATAAATTTACAGGTTACTGTCATACTGAAAAATTTTGAATTCATGCATTCCTTGTGATTTTTGAATGGTTTCACATCTACATTGAACCTAAGTGAAGACCTTTGCTATTATGGCACATTACAATCAAAATTTTAACATTTTAACACCATATGCTGAACCACAATATCGTTCAGTATATCTTAGTGGTGGAACGGATATTAGGTAACTATCCGTTCTATTAATATCCGGCTTTGGCTTATAGATAATAATCATGTTCAACCCCAATAGGACTTTTTTCATTGAATACAGCTTTATTTATCATTAGCAACCTCATTGTAACAATCCCAATACGATATATAAAATCTCTTGTTGCTGTCTCGTCTAGTTTTCTTCCCTTCTTTTCGTTTGTAATTCATCATCACATTCATTACTAACAGAACTCCCGCTGTTATCACTTTCGATTATTAATTAAAACATTCTCTTTTTAATGCAAAAAGCCGTTTTGAAAAATCACCTTCAGTTCTTGAGAAAAAAATTTTTGAAATGATTTCGAATTTTGCAATTTTCGCCGATTAAGTTTTAAAAATTCGTATAAAATCCATTTCTGGGAATATGAGTATGAAAATTT